GGGGGGGGGTTGGCTATGCGATGGGGAGGTTTTACAATATCAGGACAACGTTTGGGGTGCAGTTTTGCAACACTGGGGAGGCAACTTTGCAGGAATTTTTGCCCCAGGATGCAGCTTCGCAAGGTTCATCATCTCAGGTTGCAGCCTTAAAATATTTGGGGTGCAACTTTGCAGGATCTGGGTGCAGCTTTGCAGGTTCCATAATATCAGTATGCAAATTTGCAGATGCAGCTTTGCAATGGTTTTCATCCGTGGATGCAGCTCTGCAAAGTTTATCATCTCAGGTTGCAGCTTTGCAGGATTTACAAGATCAGGTTGCAAACTTGGCAATATTTGGCATGCAACGTTGCAGGGTCTATAACGTCAGGGAGCTGCTTGGCAATGTCAGGGATGCAGCTTTGAAGTGTAGATCATCTTGGGGTTCAATTTTGTAGAACCTGAGGTGCAACATCAGATCACTGCATCGAAAGAAGTGTGGCCAACAGGGCCAGAGAGGGGATTCTGCCCCTCTGCTCTGGTGAGACCTCACCTGGAGTAACGTGACCGGCTCTGAATCCCAGGAGAGACATGGAGCTGTTGGAGAGGGGCCAGAGGAGGCCATGGAGATGATTTGAGAGCTGGAGCAGCTCTGCTATGGAGACAGGCTGAGGGAGCTGGGGCTGTTCAGCCTGGAGAAGAGAAGGCTCCAGGGAGACCTTAGAGCACCTTCCAGTGCCTGAAGGGGCTCCAGGAAAGCTGGGGAGGTGCTTTTCACCAGAGAGAGCAGTGATAGGACAAGGGGTGATGGTTTTAAACTGAAAGAGGGGAGATTGAGGTTGGACATCAGGAAGAAATTCTTCACCATGAGGGTAGGAGGCCCTGGAACAGGTTGCCCAGGGAAGTTGTTGATGCCCCTTCCCTGGAGGTGTTGAAGGGCTGGATGAGGCTTGTGCAGCCTGGTCTGGTGGGAGGTGTCCCTGCTCATGGCAGGGAGGTTGGAACCTGATGATCTTTAAGGGCCCTTCCAACCTTCACCATTCCATGATTCTATGATTTATAATAGCAGGATGCAACTTTGCAAAGTTTATAATACTTGGGGTGCAACTTTCTAGGATCTTTAGTGTCACGATGCAAGGTCAGAAGGTTTATCATCTCAGGATGCAACTTGGCAGTATTTGAGGTGCAACACTGCAGTATTTAGGGTGCAGCTCTTCAGTGTATATAGAATCAGGGAGCAACTTTGAATGATATTTGGGATAATACATAAAGGATGCAACTTTGTGACACTTAGCATCTCAGGGCCCAAGGATTTTAATGTAAGGATGCAACTTTGCGAAGTTTCTCATTCTTGGAATATTTGGGGTGCAAAGCTGTAATATTTGGGGTGCAAGGTTGCAGGATCTATCATATCAAGGAAAAACTTTGCAATAGGGGGGATGCAGCTTTGCAAAGTTTATCATCTCAGGGTGCAGCCTTGCAATATTTAGGGTGCAACTTTGCACCATTTATAGTGTCAGGATGCGACTTTGCAAGGTTAGGGGTGCAGCTTCGCAACACTTCTAATATTTCGGGTGCAGCTTTGCGGGGTTCCGAGTCCTGCAGGCAGGAGCTGCACTTGCCGCAGCTGCCGTCAGGGGGTGCTGGTTCACAAGGTTGCGGGGGCTCTGGGAGGTTTCGGGGGGCTCTGACCTCCGTGCGGGGCGGCAGAGCCGGTGGCAGCGGCTGGGGGGGGGGGGGGGGGGGGG